AAAAGGTGCTGAATGGGTTTTTTATGGTCAGTCAATAGTAACACTCAATGACCTTCTATAAGGTGGTGAAAATGCAATATCAACAAACTAGCAGCATCGCCTAGCGTTGCCCGTGCTTGATTAAAAAATTGTACAACTCATACAGCAATTGCTATCACTTGACTTAAAATATTTTTGCCCTTCCTTGCCTTTAAAGGAGTGCCCTTTGCTGTGCTGATGTTGCTACATGCCTTACTTCTTGCCTATTTCACACTGCAAATTTTTTCTAAGCTCTATACTAAACATTAAATCTGTTACGAAAAAAGAACTAAACAAAACGAACACAAAACGATCAGCTTTAAAAAAGGACTTGTAACTGGAAAAACCGAATGAAAAAAGAATGTTAACAACAAATACTTTTTCACACCCAACTCAGTTCTGCGGAATCAGAATCAACATTGAGTTTAAGCAAGCGAATGAACCAATTGGAGTAAAGTGCCATGCAGATTTAAATTTTTCCCACTTGTGATGAATGCAGCTATCGATTTTTTTGCATGCTAGCATGCTAGTTAACATTCGTGTTAGTCAGCTGTTGGCTCTCAAGCTGACCAATAGAATCTTCCTGTCTATTCGTGGCAGCCAGCTATTGGCTCTCACTCTGGCCAGTACAAAATGGCAGCAAACTACATGAAAAGTGCCGTAGAAGCATGAAAAAATTATTTCCACTATCGATGGTAGTTGGGAAATGCAAAGTTGGTTTTGGCCTTCCCGATAACTTGGAACATGTGCATGTAAATTTTGGTGCAAATCTGTTGAAAATTGCGGCTGTGCATTTGTTACACACACACACACGCACACACACATCTTGCCTTTTATAGATAGAGATATGTAGCAAGTAATTCTCAAACAAATGTTGAATATTTTATCTGTATTTGTGAAAGTTTTTTGAGAGATCTTTTGGATATAGAGTTATTAATTGATGTAGTGACACACTTACCATGTATTTACCGCTATCAGTTACTGATTGATAGATGGTATAGTTAGGTTGGGTGGGGTGAGCTAATGAAGGGAAATCACTAAGAGTTTTGATAATATTATTGAATGCTTCTAATTCTATTTTGTTTAGTGAACCATTTGTAGAATTCAACATTTTTACTGTTAATGGTAACACTAGCTCTGCAAATTTTAGGATTCATTTTCTATAAATATTTATCATTCCTAAAAATTTATGCAAACTTTTAACATCAGTTGGTGGTAGGAAAGATTGTAGGTTCTTGATTTCTTTTGTTGTTGGTTTAATACCATTTGCGTTTATATTATAACCTAAAAAGTCTAGGGACTCACATTTAGAAAGAGGCACTTTAAGGTTATTTTTACTTAAAATATTGAAGACAGCATCTATATCTTGCATGTGCAATTGTTCATTTTCATTGAAGGTAAGTATGTCATTTATACAGACATAAACACAGTATAGATTGGCAAATATTTTATCCATGAATTGCCAAAAAGTGACTTCTGCATTTTTTAAACCAAAAAGCATTCTGTTCATGAAGTCCTAATGGAGAGGTTGTAGCAGTCTTTCTTACATTGTGTGGGTGCATCTTAATTTGTTGATAAGCAGCAAATAAGTCGACCTTAGAAAAACAGGTTTTATTTGCTGGCTTGGTAGAGAATGTTTGCAGATTCAGAACAGAATAGTGATTGACTTTAGTAATGATATTTAAGGCTTGATCATCTGCACAATATTGGTAGCTACCATCCTGTTTTAGTATGTGAAGTGGATTGGCCCACTCACTATTTGATGGTGATATTACTGTGCACTTTTGTAGTCTTTGAAATTATGCTTGTGCCATGCTGTGTTTTTCCTCCAAGAGCTTGTTAGTTTTGCAAAAACTGGGTCATGGCTGCCTGTGTCAGTATGGTGCTATATATACCATAATATGTGTTATTTGAATTTCTATGAGGTGAAATAATGTCTGAATATATTTGTTAATTATTTTGTTAACACTAGAGGTTGCTGTTTGAACGTTTTCTTTTTAATATATCACTGGTCTGAATGTTTTGTTTTTGCAGTCTGTAAGTACTTCATAGCAAACTCAGGAAGTCGAATACAAGTAGAGTATTGGTAACATCAGCTATTATGAATGTCCACTGGAATATACTCCTAAGGCTGGGGATTCCAATATGCCAGGTTGGCACCTTATTTTATTTTCATTTGCAGTCATGAGTGCTTTGGTTTGGTTTGATTAATTTTGTTTTATGGCATATCAACCTCAATGGGTTATTTAATGCTGACAACATTTTTAGGATAGATTCATATGAATAGAGTATGTATTCTTTGGTTTGGTTTATTTTGTTTAACGGCATATCAACCTCAATGGGTTATTTAATGCTGACAAAATTTTTTATTGTTGATAATATTTTGTTTTGTCAAAAATCTTTTTCTGGTTATACTCCTCCCTCAAAATTGCATTGCTGGTAATAATTTTTTTCAAAAAACCATTGCTGGTAATAGTTAACTATTTGCCCATAGCTGGGATCCTAACAGGTGCTACCACCCCAGGTCAGAGTTGACCTGGGAACACCAGTAATGAAGTGGTGGTTCCATTCTCCTCAAAACCTCCTGATCAGAGGCCTTTCTGCTGGATGCAGTTTAACGTCTTACACAGGACAAGTGGTTGTGAGTGATACTGGCATTGGGTCTATCATAATTTTTAATCACATTTGACAAAGGGTGTATTGATAAACTTGCCCCTATGTCTACCGTTAATTTTAATCTTGCTGTACCCCTATTTTTGCAACCATTTCTAGTAATGGTGAACTTAACAGGGGAGCATTTATATGTTCTGCTTTCATGGCCAGCTGTACCAAGTCTTGCAGGGTCTGGCCCTTTCTGCAAAGTAAATATGTGCACTATATATTTTCAGCTTTTGATAAGTTCCATAAGGCTTCAAACCCATGGGTATCTGTGTATTACGTTCTCTATTGTTGGATTCTGTGGTTTGTTTCTCATGTGTTGCTTTAGGTTGTTGGGCAATGAACACTGGATGTTTGAACCAACAACATCAGCTTGTCTGCCAATTTACCTGAGCAAACACAGGCAATCCCATTATTGAATTAAGTAGACCACGTGACCATAGCGGAAAAACATAAGTAGGAAGTCGTTTGACATCTAAATGATCATTATTTCTAGTCTATCCTCTATTACTGTTCAGATCACCATTCTACTCTATCCTCTATTACTATACGGATCATTATTATCCACTCTATTCACTATACTATTTCTCTATTTGGATCACTGTATGGTTTACTGTTCAAGCGAGTATTATCGAGCAAGTACTATTAGTACAAGTGCTATTCGAAGATGTCTGACACCAGTATTGTTCTAAGGTGTATTATAGTTGTATCTGCAATTACAAAGTCTCTACTACAACGAGCATTACAAAAGTGACATAAGTATTCATTGGCATCACAAAAGTATCAAATGAGTATTCATTGACATCACAAAAAATGTGTTGGTTTCCATTACAGTAGCATGTGTGAAAAAAATTTCATTTGTATCTCGAGGGTCACTTATTGTAATTAAGGTAATATTCAATTTTTTTTTCTGTGCACTTCAGGTTCAGCATTTGTAGTAGTGGATATACAAGGTGCAATGGGTAACTTGTCGCCATTTATATTGTTCATTTTGCACATGCACATTGTTTTTGATTTTGTTGACGGCACAGTGTAGTAGGGTCTGTTGCACACAATCTATGAGAAAAAGAGCAGCATGACGCAATTTACTCTGCCAGAAATTTGGAAACAGCTTGCTGTACTGCTTGGCATTTGAACAGGAAGTACATATTTCTGCCAACAAAAAAGCCTCCTGTCTATCTCAGGCTCTAATCTTTTATTTTTATATATGTGTATGTTCTTCAAAATATACAATCATTTCTCTGAATTGTATACTAAAGAATTTTATCATTTTTGTCTATATTTATTGTGTTGCATCTTGTATATATTTTGTTTGTACTTTATATAATTCAGTTGTGGGCTGATCATGTCTTTTTAAACCCAAACAAAATTACATATATAAAACAAAAAAAAGTACATTCAGACAAGGCATCACCAGAATGACACTGATGTACAATATATATATATATATATATATATACACACAAGTATATGATTGGTGTATACGGAATGAATTCCAATAACCAACAATTACTATTCTTAAAAGAGTGCTCCATACAGAGTAGAGCAGATATAATTAAATAACCTTGATGTGGTAACCAGTCTAGGAGAAGGAAAACTCTGAATTCAAACCAGCCCGAGTATTGAATGGGCTTCATCAGGATATCTTACCCTAGACATGCCACTGTGGCTATGATTGCCATACATGGGGTGCCTTTATAATCCTAATGAGTTACAGGCCTCATGATCTCTCTATCTTAGTCTGTTCACATCTATCTATTTATCTATCTATCTATCTATCTATCTATCTATCTATCTATCTATCTATCTATCTAATTTTTCTCTTACCTATATATCCATCTAAGTCTGTTCATATCTATCAGTCTATCTCACTTTCTTCATATCTATCTCATTTTGTTTGTATCTATCATATTCTGTTCATATGTATCTATCTCATTTTGTTCATATATATCTGACTCATTCTCTTCCTATCTATCTATGCTCATATCTACCTTAGTCTTTTCATATCTTGGTATCTATGTTCCTATCTGCCTTAGTCTTTTGCTTTCTTTCTTTCTTTCTTTCTTTCTTTCTTTCTATGTCTGTTCATAATCAGTCTATTTTCTATCCCATTTTGTTCATATCTATTTACCTATCTCATTCTATTCATGTCAATCTATCTATCTATCTATCTATCTATCTATCTATGTCTGTTCATAACCTATCTATCTATCTATCTATCTATCTATCTATCTATGTCTGTTCATAACCTATCTATCTATCTATCTATCTATCTCTGTTCATAATCTATCTATCTATCTATCTATCTATCTATCTATCTATCTATGTCTGTTCATAACCTATCTATCTATCTATCTATCTATCTATCTATCTATCTATCTATCTATCTATCTATTTTATTCATATCTATTTACCTCTCTCATCCTGTTCATAATCTATCTATTTGTCTATCCCATTTTGTTCATATTTTTTTTACCTATCTCATTCTGTTCATATCTATCTATCTATAAACATATTCTGTGTTTGGTAATTGAATGACAAAGTGGGAAAAACTCTATATAATGCATTTTGTCCTTTAAAAAGAGGTCATCAGATTTCAGAAATGTTCTTATTGATGGAATTCTATATATGGAGGGTGGGGTGGGGGAAGGGATGTAAATGTTGGCTATAATTACGCACTGAGTGGAAACACCGACAATACAGAAATGCTGAAGTTTTAATTTTTAATTTGAAAATTTCTGGTGTCTCCCATAATTCCATCAAGAAGAACGTTATTTTAGTCTGATGAAGTCTCTTTAGTCGATATTGCATGGAATCTTTCTTCATTTTTCATTCAATTATCTATTATTGTACTGATAGATATATTTATATGTTTCCCATATCCTGTGTTCTATTTGTTTTTTCCCCTCTATTTTATTATAATTCAATCCTATATAAATATCGAAGCTCACACGATGTCTCTGTCTCTTATTGGCTACAAGTAAGAAGTTCTATTGTGTTGATGTTGAATTCTTGTAGCTAAAATTGAAAAAAAAAAGTCAAACGGTTGACGAAAAATCAAAGAAATAAGTCCACATTTCAGCTGAGAGTTCTTGAAAGTGAATTTTTCTGCGTCATATTCATTTCATTTGGTTATTTCTAACGACAACAGCAATAATGAGTTCCTAACAATAAAATTCCAGTTTGCAAAGAAATTTTTACCGAATCAGAGAAGATCAAAGAGAGAAAAAATGTCAATATGGAAATGTGGAAAATTGGAATAAAAGAGAAAGCAAAACAAACAGAAAAATAGAAAAAAGGTTTAAAGAGAGAGAGGGGGGAGAGAGAGGAGAGAGAGATGGAAAGAGGGAGAAGGGGAGAGTGAGAGAGAGATGTAAAGAGAGGGGAGAGAGGGAGTGGAAAAGAAAATGAAAAATTATATCTGCACATATAAATATATATCAATAAATATATCAGTAAGTACACAAACTCATGTTGAAAAATTATTTTCTACAAAAAATTTACAATTTTTCATCATTTCCTTCATTGACAATTCACTAAATTCAATGCTCCCCTATTAATTATATATAAAGGGGTGCTGAAAAATCCTCAAATCTGGCCAAATAATCAAACATGTTTTTTTTTTTTAAAAAGACTTTGTGGAATCTTCCACATTAGCCTTTAACCCCCAGAAAAATGTATTCTTCTCTGAAAAGCCTTTAACCAATCATCATCTTGTTTTTGCAAATCCAATCTTTTTATTGGTTAATAAGCACCAAAGTGTAGCAAAATTCCAAACGAATCCTATTTCCCACCAAGCTCTTTTGAGCCAATTTCGCTACCCAAGAAATCTATAAATTTACTGCAGCTGACTCAATTCAGACAGTCAGCCACCAGAGTTCAACAAGATGCTACCAAACTCCACGTGTGACAATTCACTGACTCACACCCCACATTGAAACCTCAACAAACTTTCATCAACCATTGTCCTCATGTTAACCAACATCTACAGTTGACTTGAAAAGTGAAACAATTTCACTAACAAAAAAGTAATTGTATATTTCACCAACTTAGCCTAGACAGACAAAGGCAAGCAACTCTTGATAACATTTATTCTTACTTGTAAATTACACACGGACACACACTGATAAATGGACGAACACATATAATTTCTTTTTCCTTGTAGAAACCAAATCATTTTAAATTTCTTAACAATCAAAAAGTACCAACATTTCTTAACAAAATTCCTGCACAAACATTCCTTATAACATTGTTTTAATTCTCACAACAGCAAACATTGTAATTGTCGTTACATGTATAGTTTATTGTTGATTTAAAAATTTCTTTAATGTTAAATCTTTAACAACAGTATTTAGTAGTTTCTTGCCATGTAATTTGTTCTTAAATTGTATGTGTAACCTATATTTTGTAGGATACGGATGCTATAAGCATGCATAACCTTCATCTTACTTAATTTTAACCTTCTGATATATTTCACTCTGTGTACATCCCACAACTTCTTCATTGAGACAGAAATATTTTAGTCCTTTTGATGCACCATACTCCCATAACGTGTTTCTTGGTATGAATGTACTGATATCAGGTAAGGAATAAAAACAGAAGAAAAAATTTTCTTTACCAAAGTGTTTTGTCCTCTAGTGGATATCAAAGCAAATGTAAGGATTTTATTTTGCAACATGTTTTTATAAACAAAAGCAAAAATATTATTAGGTTTTGCAAAATTTTAAAATTTAAGAGCACTCAAAAAGTTCTTAAGGCTGTGAAAGGTAAACTGTGAAGGATGCTAAGTGATGTAATTTAATTAGCAGAGACAGACATTACTTACGGTCAGCATTAGTCGTATTGAATATTTGTTTTACGAATTTAAATATATTTTATTTAAATTAATTTTCAAAAATAAGGCTCACTATAGTTTTTTACTTTAATAAAAATAATTGAAAATTATTTACCTTTTTTATGTTAGTTACACACCAGAAAAACAATTTTTTAAAGATTGATTAAAAAAATTATTTTCCATAAGATGGCCTAATAAGTCCATCACACACACACACACACACACACACACACACACACACACACACACACACACAAATATTTGAATAAATAAATATTAAACTTTTTGTCAAATAATTGTATTTAATATTCTTCTTCTTTTAAATCTACTTTCTTGTTTTAATATTCATTTTTTTTAAAATTATACTTTTATTTACTATAGATGTGAAAATAAATTCAAGAGAACAGAAATTTTAAAAATACATACATGTATAGCGTTTATCAGAATAAAAACGTAAAAATGGACGATAATCATAATCTGGAATAATATCTTTGTAAATACAAATCATATGATGATAATTTTTTACAAAAATCTGGCTTGGGTGTTAATGAGTCTGTATACATATTTACTTTGTCATAATTATTGTAGTTTTTAGTTTTAGCCGGACACACACACACACACACACACACACACACACACACATACAGACAATTGCTTATATATATTTATAGATGACTATTTTTGCTTCTGATCATATCCATAATAATTTTGGATGTGGTTGTAATTATTTTGATATTGTTAAGATTGGATAAATTGTTTTTCATAGTAGATGTTAAGGAGTTAGTACGTTGTATAATATGTTGATTTTTATCTTGCTTATTGTCATTGTTGTTGATATTAATGTGATTATATTTTTGTAATTGTAGACTTTTTATGCCTTTCTCTTAGTATTGTGAATGAAATAGTAAGGATATTGGAAGTTTTTAAAACATGATTTTTTATGGATATTTTTTCTTCAGGTAATTATTAGGAACTGCAGATCCTTAGTGCTCTTAAATAAAATCCTATAATTATTCCAGATTTTTACAACTGCAGAAAGATAAAATTGTTATTGTAATATCATTTAGCATTGTCCATAGTTTATCTTTACTTTTACAGAAAGCCTTTTACAGGAAGCCCTTTACAGGAAGCCTTTTACAGAAAGTCTTTTACAGAAAGCCTTTTATAGGAAGCCCTTTACAGAAAGCCTTTTACAGAAAGCCTTTTACAGGAAGCCCTTTACAGAAAGTCTTTTACAGAAAGCCTTTTACAGAAAGCCTTTTACAGGAAGCCCTTTACAGGAAGTCTTTTACAGAAAGTCTTTTACAGAAAGCCTTTTACAGAAAGCCTTTTACAGAAAGCCTTTTACAGGAAGCCTTAAAAACATTGGTAAAGAAGATTTTTTCCTTTTGTCTTTATTCATATTGACTTTTTACAGATTTATTGATTTGTTAGTTTAATGGCACATCAACTCTTTATGGGTCATTTAATGCTGAAATTTAATTTTCTTAGAAGCTTTGAAGTAATAAAAATATGATAAATGTTATTCTGCTTTCACAATTTAATGCATGGTAGATGATACTCAGCTTTAGTGCATATACATGTTTGTGTGGGCATAATTACTAGTGGCAGTGATATGTTTGTTTTAATTTGTAGTCTTGTTGAAGTTATATTTTGGAATACAGTTTGATTTTTTTTACGGTATGGTTCATCCTTTACAAAGCCCGGGGGGGGGGGGCACTCGAGGTAGATGGTTATGTTAGGATGCCATTTGTGTGTATAGGAGTGGAAGATAATGGTTAACCCTAGCCTTGAACGAGTTAAGATTGTAATGATCAGGGAAACAAACTGTTGAGAGTAGGTTCCAAAGTGCAGTGGTCCCAGGAAGTAGCTGCTTGAGTGGAACTTACTTCTCAACAATGAAATACAGAGGAAATGTGTTTGGTTTGCTACAATCTAAGTAGCATGGCATGTTCTTGCTATGAAGGTTTGACTATACGGGACCAGGGAATGTAGTTTGTCTGAGCACTTTCTGTGGAAGTAGTGGTGAAGCAATGAGAAGCTTTCCACATCCCACCTGTGAGAGAGAGGTTTAAAGGGGGAGAATAATTCATCATCTATAAGGGCTCAGAGGTGCTTTTGAACGCTACAATGGTTGGAGAGTGAAATCTGGGCAGCTCCTGTCCTAATATGACAACAGTACTCAATTTTTGGCCTGATCTGGCTCTTGTAAAGGTAGAGGATAGCAGGAAGGGTTAAGTACTTACTGGAGTGGTACAGGAAGCCAATCATTTAACCTGCATCCTTAGAAATTGATCGTATGTACGAGTTCCACTTGAAGTTGGGTGGGAGTTTGACACACAACAGTCTTTCAAGGCAAGGTGCTTCTTTGAGAGGACCTTCGTTCATCAAGATTGGTGGTATCTCAAGGTCAGATCAGTGATGATGAAATGTAACTAGCTTGGTCTTTGAGGCATTGAATGTAACCAGCCAGTTTTTACCCCATTCGGTAGTTTGAGCAAGATCAGAGAAGAGATCAGTTGCCAATCTCTGACCATCGAGAGTTTAAGATGTGTGCCTGTATATAGCCGTATCATCAACATAGATGTTTACAAATAATCTGAGTGTATTCTTAGGCAGATCATTTATGTAGATCAAGAAGAGGGTTGGTTCAA